GCGCATGGCTTGCCGATCACTTGGTGACCTTCGTGATTCGGGCGGGGATGGTTGACTTCCTCATTGACTCGCAGAGGTCGACCTCCTTGGTTGCCCTGCACGTGGGGCAAATTAGTAGATTGAGCTTGCGAGGATTCCTCCACGAGTTGTCGTCTTGAGTTGGTTCTTGAGCGGGTTGGTGAGCGTCGGTCGTTGCGTTCACGAACTCGTGCCCCTTGTGGGCCTAGCCTAGAATGGATACTCCTTTGCAAGCCCAGGCTAGCATGGACATTGGACTATGGGCCCAACCTCTCGTGCACATTGGTCCTTGAATCTAACCTTGAACGGATTGTCGACCGGCTTAGAATACGGCTTGCATACATCTCGTTAGCAGAATCTCGTTCTCTCCCCTGCTCGTCTGTCCTTGTTCGACTAGTCTGGGATCCCTCAAAATGCTCGTCGGTATGCTCGCGGATCCTTCTCTCCTCTTCACGGGCTCCCAAGTCAGGGCCTTAATTCAAGTTGATCTGCCTGAGTAGTTGGCCAATTAAATTGTTTTGGTCATGGACCCTCTGCACGAGTTGATCAACCAGTGAATTAATTCCCACTTGACTGTGTAGGTCGGGTAGAGAGGTGTGAATCGGGCCCAATGGCATATGGGCTAGGGCTCCATTTGATGCGCACACAGGTGCATACATCAAGTGTGGTTGCAATGGAGGGAATGTTCAGATTTGTTCCAAAATGGCGCCGTCGCTTGGTCCTTGCAGTGGCAAGGTGGAGAAGGCCATAAGGCCATGGTTTGGCACGGCAACAAGAGGTGCAACAATTCCAGCCGCATGTATGGTCGTTCTGGCGGCCATTGGCGATTGTTCTATGGCTTTCGGAGGCTGCGACAAGGTATGGGCAGCCACGGGAGGTTGCTGCGATGTGCTGGTAGCCACGGGAAGCTGCAGAAATGGGCTAGCAGCCGCCGGAGGCTACTGCAAAACATGTACAACAACTGTTTGAAGATGTTGTGAGGTCTCCGAAGGTGGTTGGATGGCACGGGCAGCCACGGGGGGTTGCTTGAACTCGCTAGGGGGCTGTTGGAAAGCGTTGGCAGCCGTGGGAGGCTGCTGCAAAACACTGGCAGCAGCTGTACCTCGTGGTGGCAGTGAGGTTTCAGCCGTTTCGGAGTGCGCCGTTGCGGTGGTTTTGCTCCTAGAGTGTTTGCTTCCAACCATGGTTGTTTGTAAGGCTTCGGTGGATTAGAAAATAGGTTTGGAGCACGCTTTGAGTATATCTCGTGCTCTCAATGAAAGAACCAATTTGTGGGAGCAAATTTCATCCCACGAGAATATTTGATCGATTGATTCCCCTTTCTTCTTCGTCGTCTCTTTCTCCCTGCAAAATAGATTGGAATAAGAGGACCACACCCGGGGGGTATTGGCCAAAGGCTCTCCGATGCCTAAGTTAGTTCAATTGATTCGTAGAGAATCAATAGCTAAAAAGGGTACGGAGATATATGTATGGTGTGAGCTAGGTGGCCAGAGTTGTGTGTGATGGATGGAGCCTTGTGTAAGGGAGAGAGAGAGAGAGGGCGGCAAGGAGGGAATTTTTGTGAGCTTAGAATAGCTTACCTCGTGCCTTGCATAGCCTCGTATTTATAGAGCCTCGTAGGATTAGGGTTTGGAGAAAAATAATCCTTGTTGGGAAATGATTTATTTTTCTGATTTTAGGAGATTTAAATCAATTATGGATTTAATGAGAATCAAGTCCCTAATAATATTTGACCTAGGGTTTGGCTAAAATTCGGTTCCCACAAAAGTGTTGAAAGGTACATGTTTGGAAAGCATTAGGGGGTCGTTTGGTACGTCGGACTGTTATGGACTGGATTAAATCCTGAGACTATCTTGGATTGGCTTGGATTGGCTTAAGCTGGATTAAGTACTAACCTACGTTTGGTTTTGCGTCGAACTAAGAAGCTGGATTGTAAAAATAGTGAAGACCTATGTTTGGTGCTGTGTGGTCGGACTAAAATAATTTTATTGTAATATTTAAATTTAAAACAATAATTAAAAAAAAAACAAAAATTCTTAATTTTTTTAAAGGCTAAAATTATCTTAAACAAAAAAACCCATTAGATCCAGACCCAACTCAACCTATTATATTAGAATACATGTTTGATAAAACACACTGTAGGTAGTTTCATCATCTACGCTACACTTCAACCCCTACAGACGTAAAAACACTGCAAAAATCAGCCACTTCATCTTCTCCACTCCACGAAACTCAGCCCTGCATATGGTTTGTTTTTCTAGTTCGCTTGTTGGCTCTTGGTTCATCAGGTAAGCACACTCTGCTCTTCATGTTTTTTTCTTCTGCTTTTTGATTGCTGGTTTTTGAACATCTTATGAAAAACTTATAAATATATAACTTGCGACAATCATATACCCAATATGCCATTCATTTGAATCAAATTCATTTTGGTTTCAATCTTGTGATGACTTTTCATTTCATCTACAGTAACAACTAATATAAAATATATTAATTTTTCTTGAAACACTGTTTTTCCGATGTTTTGGTTTTCATCTATGTCCATTTTCTAGTTTCATCAATAACTAATATGAACATATGATTGTACAATACTTAGCTCTGTTTAATTTTTATTGAATCAATTGTAATTTTTTATTGTTATGGAAGATATTTTAGATGTATAAATTTTGTTTGATTCAATTTTTGAAGGATATGAATATGGAAAATAATTGCATGGAAGATGGAGAAGGTGAAACAAGCCCTGGCTTGAACATTTCAGAAGGTGAAAGCAACGAAAAGTCATCACAAGCTATGAAAGGTAATGAAAAAATAGATTTGGTTCATTCTAGCATTCAAAAACAACTAATTCCTGTGATTGGGATGGAGTTTGAGACAGAAGACTTAGCATTTAAATTTTACAATGCATATGCATACAATATTGGTTTTAGTATTAGAAGAAGTAGCTGTCACAAATTCAAAAGTGGCCAGTTGAGAGACAGGCTTTTTGTTTGCTTCGCTGAAGGTAAGTGTAAAATTGATAAGCGTGTTTCTAATGTGAAATATCATCGTGCTGAGACAAGATGTGGATGCTTAGCAAGGATGAAAATTAGTTGTCATTTGAATGAGAAGTATCGTGTCATAGAATTTGTTTCTGAGCATAACCATGTGACTACAAGTCCGTCTAAGACTCATTTGTTTAGGTCTCATAGGAAGATCACTCTTGCACAAATAGCTGAAGTTGATATGGCTGATAGTTCAGGAATTGCTCCCAAAGCAACTCTTGAATTTTTAAGTAGACAAGCTGGTGGTCGGGAAAGTCTTGGATTTATTCCTGATGATTACAAGAACTACTTACATTCAAAACGAACAAGAGAAATGAAGTTAGGAGATACAGGTGGTGTGTTAGAGTATCTGCAACAAATGCAATTGAATGATCCTAATTTTTTTTATGCTATACAAGTGGATGAAGATGATTTGATCACTAATATTTTTTGGGCTGATACGAGGATGATGGTAGATTATGATTATTTTGGTGATGTAGTATGTTTTGGAGAAGCTGACAAAGAAGAGAAGAACTCAAAAAACAGAATTGCAACATTCAAGCAGTGTTGATTCAATATGTGTTCCTACTACGAAAGTTGTTCCAACACCTCTATCAGAATTTTCACAGGTATTGTCTAAATTCGTTATTAATTTCATCTTTTTTTTGTTTATTACCCTGTAGCTTCATTGTATTTTTCTTACTGTATTGGTTGAACCCAAAAAATTGTAGGAACTTGTTGCTGTCAATAATTTAAGCATGGAATTTCCAGTTAGCATGGTCAACTTGTTGCAGGTACTTCATTGCATTTAGTTAAAACTTTTCTTAATCATAATTATTTACTTGATTGAGTATATTTCGCTCTTTTGACATATATATATTGTATGAGTGTAGGCACAATCACCATTGGAAGGAGAATGTGGGTTGTTTAGCTCTCAATTCACAAGTGCCGGGGCCAAGAGTTATAATGTTGAAGTAGATCCACCTTTTTCAATTGACAAGAGTCACCAAGCGTCATAATGTTGAATTTGGGTTGTTCAGCTCTCAATTAACAAGGGTTCCATAATTTGTTACAACTCTGTTTTGATTTAGAACGTTTGTTATGTTTGTCCTGTCTTGGTATTTGAACTTATTCTGATATTTGGCATCTCTGCCCTCCTATGGTGTTGAAGTATTATATTCAATGAAAATATTACTTGCATTTCAAGCCACGAAGGCATTAATCATGCTGCATACTTTCAAATAAGCTCTCTCCATGTCAGAACATGATGAAGAATGCACAATGATGTTAATAATGCAGAACCTCATACAAACTTCATAGAATTTTGGGTCATATAGAAAAGATTTTAGAGGAAAAATAATACATAATGTTTATTGTACAGGATTTCCTTCCCATCACTATGAACCTCAGCAATGGTTGCTTCTCAATGTTCACTTCCTGCCTACCATGCCCACCTTCACTACTTTGACTACCACTAGAACCTTTTTCACCAGAATTTGATCCCTTCTTCTTTGGACCTTTTTCACTAGAACATCATCTAGGCTGTGAGCTTCCTCTTTGTTAACTTTTGGCCTGTAGTGGTTCATGTAATAGTATTGACATGAAGCTATACCTAAGTGCTGTCCCTCAATATCAATATCCAGGTATACTCTGTGGGTAATTTCAGGTACCTCTTCTAGTTTCTCTTCCTCCTACAAATCAAGTTAGAGACTCTAATCAATTTTTTTTGTAGATACTGATTTTAGATGCAGGGCACTGTACTCTTACAGAAGTTGCAAGCATCATTACTCAAAGAATAAACCACTTCAAATAGAAGCCAAATGTCAACCACCAAAGATCCCCCACTACCCACACCCACCTACACTTACATTCTCGTATCTATTTTAAGCAAACCTGCACATTGTATCTGGAAATTACAGATCACACATTGGGCTAGAGAACAGAACCCACAACTAGTAATAATGTTTCAAGAAACAAAATGCTTAAATCTGAAATGTATTATGACAACGAAAATAGCTAGACTCATAGACATGAGCTACATAGGCAAGCACTCTGGATATATAACATAATAATAACATTTACACAGTTTGACCAACATACAAGGCTCCATTCATAAGCAGTTGTTCAACATTAAGGACAGCATCCCCATCTAATCACCACTCTTAACCATTTCACCATTTAACAAATTCCAAATTATTAGTACCCAATAAAGCATTCATTAAATAGTGTATCTGTGGACACCCAATAAAGCATTCATCCCTACGTATATAAGGGTGATTAGCTTTTGATACACACCCCAAAAACATCTCTGGACACCCAAAAATTCCCAGAATTGCCTTTGTAGCCAAGTGTCCAGAGACATAGCTTGAAAATATGATCAATTTAAAAGGCAGGATGGGAATTAACTTCCAATGAACCAAAATGCTGGAGGTATGCTTCAGTGATCAACCTTCTTCCTTCTCTTTTTCTGAAAAAAAGTATTGAAACCAAATGAATTGCATAATGAGTATATAAGTATAGCAAATTAATCGTTTAAAAGCTTCTTGTGCGATGGCTCTAACACCAACAACCAAAAAGGGGGAAAAAATTATGAAGTAGAGCCTGGCTTACCTCACGAACCAGTGGTCAACGAGTGAAATATATGCAGGGGCTGAGTTTTGATAATTATATACCCATTACGCAATTCATTTGATAATTATATACCCAAGATGAAGCGGCTGAGTTTTGCATACGATGCTCAAAAACCAGCAATCAAAAAAGAAAAGAAAAAAACATGAAGAGCATAGCGTGCTTACCTGATGAACCAGCAGCCGATGAGTGAACTAGAAAAACAAATCATATGCAGGGGCTGAGTTTTGTAGAGCGGAGAAGATGAAGTGGCTGAGTTTTGCAGTGCAGAGAAGACATAGGGGTTGAAGTGTAGCGTAGAAGATGAAGCGGCCTGCAAAATGTTTTTGTCAAACGTGTATTCTAATATAATATATTTTAATTGTTTTAATTAAAGAAAAAAAAACTAAAAGAGAGTTAACAGAGTTAAACTCCTGTTAAGTTGTGTGCCACATGTCACAAAACTAAGGAGAAAACAAGGGGCACAGAACCGGACTCAACTCAACCTCCCCATTCTTTTTATCTTTTTTTTCTCTCTATTTTTTTTGTTTTTTTTTTGTTTAAGATAATTAGGTTCATCACATTGGAAATAGGACGAGGAGAAAAAGCAGATGTTTTGCCTTCTATGGGATTTTTTTTTTTGGACGAAGCCTCCTATGGGATCAAATCATCAATGCAGTGATACCTATCCACCTCCCCCACTGAAGCCATCTTCTCTTGCTCCCTGGGATTAATAGATTCATTCTTGCTTCTTCACCTTGCGGCCTTTGCAAACATAAGAAGAACTATCGGAGCTCACATCAACCAAACCCAATTCCCTCTGTCTCTGTCTCTGTCTCTGTCTCTGTCTCTCTCTCATCGCAACCCACCTCCACATCCCCTTTTTCCCCAGTTCTCCTTCTCCCCTTTTGACTCTTTTTTTTAATTCAATCGGGAAAGCTTCAAACAGAGGCTTCAACAAAGGTGTTCTCCCAGGCACGCCGCACATCCTCTTCGATCTTGACAAGCCAGTGATCTAGGTTTGTTTGGTTGCAGAAATTAGTAACCCCATGAGGAATCGGAGCAGATAGAAAGGGCTCTCTGGGTCAACTGATTGGGTATTCAATTGGGTATTGTTTTTGGTGTCGATACGGTTGGTGGTGGTGACAGTGCAAAGGTTTAGTTCTGCGATGGTTTAGTTCGGACTCGCGAGTTCAACATAGCGTGGGTGTTATATTGCGAGCCGCTTTTCAAGCTCGCTAAATTAGAGGGGCGAGTGAGGGGGATTTTTCACTGTTGGACTATATAATCTCATTTAAGTTAGTCCACTCTCTTAACAAACATGGGTTTTAAGTACTATTTAAGCTAGTCCAGTCCAGTGAGGCCTCCCAAACACACCCTAGGACTATTTAGACGTTGGAGCTTTCAAAAAATGAAACGTTGGAATTGGATGCTTATAAGGCTGCGTTTGGTTCATGGGAAAGGAATCTTGGGGATGGGAAACCGATTGCTTTCCCATGTTTGGTAAGTCAGGCATGGGAAAGCGTTGCCTAGCACATGGGAAAGTAGGAGGGAAAGTGAATCCTTCCTTCCTACTTGGGTTTCACTTTCCCTTCCCATGGGAAAGTAAGACTAACTTTTTTTTGACTAATTTGTCCTTACTAACAATTCATAATTACACTTTTTATCCAACAATTATTGGTATTTTTTTATTACTTTAATAGGGATACAATTGGGAAACTAAACAAAATTTGTTTTCCATTCCTACTCAAAACAAACATGGGAAAGGAATCACCATTTCTCATCTCTTGGGAAATGACATGGGAAATGATTTCCCATCAAATTCATTCCGTGAACCAAACAGGGCCTAAGAGTAGAATATTAAAGCATCATTTTCAACCACTAACATTAAGAGCATGGTTGGACATTACATTACAAATGTATGGCTCCCAAATTTGATTCTCAATTATAAACCAAATCAAATGAATTAGCTAGCTTGATATAGAAACACAAACAAAACCAAAAAAAGGAAAAGAAATAGCTAGCAATCTATAACGCTACAAATGACGAAAATGACTTCCAATATCTTTTGCTATTGAAGAAGAACAAGATCATTTTATCTTTCGTAAACCACATGTTTTTTAAAAATGTTTTTACTTTATTACAATGGAAGAGAACCGAATCCTTAAACTCTGGACCACTATTAAACCAAATTTTCTGAAGTATCTTCCTAAAAAGATAATATGTTGATCACACTTTTGGGTGCATATATATTATCAACTCTTTTGATTTTGCTAGGTAACAAAATGTGGGCCCTAGAATGCAAATGGTTGGTGTAATGTAAAGCCCAATCTTCAAATTCCAAGACATCGAAGTTTGCCGGACACCGAGACTTAGAGAGCTAGCTATCTACATACAGAACACACGACACAACACACACTCGTCAAACCAATTGGAGAGCACGGAGAGAGTGAGATAGAGAGTGGCTGTGATTGGCTTCATCTTACCTCTATTGTGTCCTCATCTGAATCCACTCTCTCTCTCTCTCTCTTCTCTCAACCACACCTATCTCTCCATCTCGTCCTCTTCACACTCCAACACTCACAGGGTTGGTGGATGGTGTGTGTGTTTTTGTCCCATATAAGCAATCTCGTGTGGTTCTGAATCCACAAAGATTCGATTCCCTTTTGCTTGTTCACAGATTCAATTTCTCATTTCTTCCCCTCAAAACCATCACATACAAGCAACACTCACCAAACTCATTTTTTCAATTTCTGGTAATCTTCTTAACCCACTTTTGTTTTTGTTTTTGGGTTTTTTGGGTTTTTGATATGAACAATTCTGTTTGACGGATCTAATGCGTGTTGGGTTTTGGCAGGACCATCTGGGGGTCTTAATTACTTGAGAGGTTTTGCTTTGCTTTTGGGTGCCACCCAGTATTTGTCAAGTAAGATTCTTGCCTTTTCTGCTTCAAAACTGTTTATTCTATCAAATGCAAATGCCTTTCGTTGCTTTTCATATGACTGACACTGAGATTGAACAAGCTGCAAAATGGCTTGGCAGAAGCATGTTAATGATTTACAATGTAGGTTCCATTTCAGCCTTGATCTTATTACTTGAATTGTCAAAAGAAGTAATAATAGTTCTGTATTATTGAGTGTGCTACAAAGTGTGCTTGATGATAGGTTAGACGCAGAATCCTTTAATCTGCTCACTTTCAACGAACAATGTGTCGTTAAATTTCTAACTTTGATGTGTTACAATACATATTATTCTTTAATGAGTAAATTTAAATTTTGTTAACAGAAGCTTTGAAGATAAAAGGGACTCTTTCTTGCTTAAAATGACATATCCTCAAGTGTTGAATATTTGTTGTTGATAACTAGTTGTGAATGGCAGTCTTGGACTGGACATGACCTTCAGATTTTAATGGGAAAGTAGACATTTAGGACACGATGCACAATTGAGCTAATTAGTTTACGAATGAGGGGTAGTGGAACTGGTCATGCCCATGGTTTGCTCCCATATGGTCCAAGGTTCGAAATCCTTGAAGGTATCTATGTAGCTATTTGCTAGTGTTTCCTGCCTCCAAAAGATTGTAGGGTTTGGCTGGGGCCCCAGTTTGAAATCTGATCCGATAGTGGATTAGGGGATTTCTGGGTATATAAAAGAATGTACAATCAAGGTAATTAGTTTTGCTCTTGTTAGTCATAGTTCATCCACCAAATGTTTTGGAACAAAATTATGATTGAGATCTTCAAGAAAAGAAAAATCAATTGTAGGTATTATCATTGCATTGGAAATTCATCTAGTGATTTTTATTCTCAGTAGTTCGTAATTATTTGAGCATTATGTGTAGGGTTTCATCTCCTGATTCCTGTAGTTGAAATCTCTGTATTACATCTTTGGCCTTTGCCGACCGATATTAGGTGTATCAACCATGGATATTCCTTTTGTAAATCTGGATGGAACCATCAGCTGAAACATGCATTCTTAAATTCTTAATGGCATAAGAAGTATGTCAAACTTGTAGGCAAGGACGCAAATATCGGCTGATACACCGATATGTCAACACCGATACTGGGGGTAAGGCCATATCTTCCCCTTTATTGGTGATATATCCCCGATAAATGTGATGTCCCCTATATTTTCCTGACTTCGTCGATATTTCCCGATCCCCATAACACAACCCAGAAAATTTTCAGAAGTTTTGAAGCCAATTGTTGCAAATTGAATCCCAAAAATCTCTAATCATTATTAAAATATGCAAATAAGTGAAATATGAAGAAATTAAAGCTTAATTGGAACACCTATGAACTAACCCAGCCATTAAATCATACCCAGAACCCTATAATCATGTTTGATTATAATGGAACTAGTTATGGAGCTTAAGATGATGAAACAGATTATGGACCTACTAGTTGGGTGAATCCTAACAATCCCATATATGGGAGGACAGTAGGGAGCTCAAGAGAGACATATGTGCACCATGTTCAAACATGGCTTACAAACTGCTCAGGTTATATGACTTGGTATGACTATTGTATGGATCTATATGGTTGTTCCTCATTGTTTGAACTACATAGGAGCTCTTCATTTATGTAGATGGAAACTTATCTAAATTGTAATCCAATGTTGAAACAAACTATGGATTTATGCATGTTTTATTCATTCTAATCAATGTTTCATTTTCAAACTTTTCATTAACGCGTATTCCATACCACTTATATTTCATCATATGTTTATCTTATACTTAATAAATTTTGAGTTTTGTTTGTTCAATACATTCATTGAGAATGTATATAACATCTATGAAAGTTTTACTCCAAAATTTTGTTTTTCAAAGCCTATATCTGTCATTTTTGCTGATTTTTTTCACGATACCTAAAACGATAAGGATATATCCCCCAAAATATCCATAAATTGGAGGCCCGATATTATCTGCACGGCCGATATTTTAATCCTTGCTTGTAGGACTATTCTTCCTATGATCATTGGCCATGTTTTGAGAATTTTGTAAATTTCAGAACTTGAATAAATTTTCTTACCCCTTTTCGTTTAATTATTGCTAATTTTGCTCCCACTCTAAATGTCCTTAATTAAAAGGTTCCCTTCTTTGTGGATTGGATGCTAACCTTCAAATCTTTGAGGTCCGACTTGTACTAATAATGCAAGCGAGAGGTATTATTTGTGATACATATATTTTACAGTTTGAATGACATATGGAGCCATGCGTTGAGCAAACAATTTTATGAACATGAAGTTTTTAAGTACAGTAGCAATCCACAAGTAGGCCATGGAAGGTAGGAACAAAGACAGTTCTAACATCCAGCTACTTACTCATCACTAACATAACAAATACATAACACTAAACCATTATACAACAGTCTCAATAAAATGCAGCCCCCAATCTGCAAAAATGAATCAATTTCTCTAAACTGTTTCACAAAAGCGCACAATGAAGCACACCAATGAACACTATCCCATAAAAGACATCTATTTTCCTTCAAACTCCTAACATTCCTTTATACCAAAGAATAGTCATTACTTAATTTGGCTTTTCCCTCAAGCAAAAGCACAATGTCTCGAGTAAAGAGACACAAGAAATTTGAAACCACCCCAACTCAATATTGTTGTCCTAAATAACTTTTCCATGACCCACGTGCAACTGGACAGGGAAGAAATGAATGAGCAATACTGTCAACTGCCTTCTTGCACTTGATATTGATGGTGTGCTTTTTCAGAGAAGTGATGATTGAGTATTGTTTTGGTATAAATCATATCAAATTCAATCTCTATTCTGTGAAGATTAAAAAAAAACAGCATAAAAACAGTTCAGATAGGAAGAGGTATGAACTCCGTTATAATTCAAGTTATCAGTAGAAAGAAGTGAAGAAAATGAACGATTTACATTCCTTAATGATTGAGTGCATCGTTGCTCATGCTCGGTTTGTTTTATCGTCAAGCGTAAATATATAAATTTGATTTAGCTGTAAGATAGGCTGATTGTAATTAATTGGTGTCATTTTAAGTTTAAGTTGCTCATAAGCAACTTGTTGATCTATCAATCTTCATTTTCATTTTCCTTGTTTTGTTTTATTGAACATTGTTTTAAAATCTTCTTCCCACCTCCATTCAACTGATCAATAAAGCAGGGATGAGGACTTGTTATTCTTTTTTCCAAAGGGATATTTTTATTTTTATAGATTTCTATTCTTTGTTTCCGATGAGGAGGGATAATCTGTTTATT